ATCAGTTAGTCGTACATTGCGTGCGACGATGGATACTTTTAGGAATAGCGTGTCATACTTTTGGAACGGCATGTCATACCTTTTGGTGCGATTATTCGTTCTACCCATGCTTTTAGTAGTAAAATCTATGGAACGGATCCACGGCTAATGACACGATTTTGGAAGGGGTCTGTCATACTTTTGGAACAGCGTGTGTGTAATTATTAGAACAACGCGTCATACTTTTGAAACGACGCGTCATACATTTGGAGCGGTAAGTCGTGCATTGGGAAGGACGTGTGACACTTTACGGACACTAGAAAACCATGGACAGTAATACCCGTTTTAACAAAGACGTCACGGTAATGCTTTGATAAGATTATTTATACGCACAATATTAGCGGTTAATTTACGCCATTCCTCCGTGGAGATAGAAATACCTAAAATTGTCTCTTTACCAGCTATAAATTGTCTGATATCTACGATGGGTAAATTTTCTTTCAAACAAACGGAAACACGTTTTGTTGTCGAAAGGCGTAGCTGATTTCGCATACACTCGTTATCCGTTAGATTCACACCTGTTCCCGCGACAAATGACCCGGGGGGTGTTGTTCCGTATGAGTGGAGCGGTAAAGCTATCAGCGTGCAGCACGCAATATATTATTATCATCATCGTTGTTATAATCGACACGCCGAGAAGGGAGGGCGTGCGCTTGTTCAGGCACCAGTATCGGAGCCTGCTGCACTGCCTATCAGCTCGGCCACGAGCTTCTGCAACTCGATGTCTATCTCGACGTTGGTTTCTCCCTCCCTCGGGTGCTGTTCGCCGTCCTCGGTGTCGCGCATAGGCGACGGTGATGCTGTAGGGTTCTTCTTCTTCTTCTTCTTCTTCTGCTTCTTCGTCGTTGCGTCGTCGCCGAGTTTTCTCTTTTGGTACGTGGTTGGCTTCTTCGGCGGGTGGTTCGTGGTTGTCGTCGCCGTGAGTGTGTTTTTTTCGTGGTGGTGTTCGGTGGTGCTGCTGCCGTTGTTGGTCGTGGTCGGGTGGTCTGCGTCGTCGTTGTTGTTGGTGGTGGTGTGGTCTCTTTTGGTCCCCTGAAGTGACAGGCTGGAGGATGATTGTATACTAAGACGCAGAGCCACCATGACGTGTGACAGGGCGTTCGTCAGGGCATAGCTTATTTGGAACACGTCGTCGTTCTAACCGGGAAGTCACTGGCTCGCTTTAAGCGTAGAGGCACCCGGTAGATTACACATGCACGACTCGTACGGTATAGATTACACGCGAATATGGCCCGAATTTCACGATTTTGTGACAAAATACGGTCGTTTGCATTATTCCTACAACAGTGTTCGTGTGCAAAGTCTGTCGTCAGTAGCTTGCGGTCACCATTGTTTATATTTCGGTAGCTGGCGATCTCGAGGTATTTCTAACCACGATATAGTTAGTCATTTCAGTAAAAGTAACGCGCTTGCAAACGATTCCATGGTTTTCAGATGGTATGATAATGCCAAGAAGAATATACTCGAGAACTTTAAGAGCTATGGATTTTGACTATTGATAGAGCTGTAGGAATGTTGTCGATTTTTTCCCACGCCGTCATCTCGTCGCAAAAACCGGTCTTACTAGGCAACCATACAAAGAGGTGTCAAGCCGGCTTTAGCGATTACGCTGACAGGTACTCGCAGCGATAACGACTGTGTTTGATGTAATAGGTATAATTATGTCCAGGGCCGGATTTGACCCTTACCGTCCAATGGTAGGACGATGCCGTATAGGTCACACCCCCTATTCTTTTCAGACGCGTAACCGCTGATGGTGTCGAGAGAATCACGCACCCCAGATGCGCAGTAAGTAGTTGGAAGCCGTCTGCCCGAGGCGAGGTTGTATATTTTGAGTGCTCCGTACAACGATGTCCTGCTGCTACGTTCCCGATTCGTATAATGATCAGAAGCGATGGAGAAAGATGTAATCTTTTCTTCAATAAGAAGGAGAAGTATCGCCATCAAAGGACTCTGGAAACGAAGACACCTTGTCTGTGGACGGAAATATGGTATCCAACGTTTCAGCGATGATGATGTGGATTCAAAATTACCGTTTCGCAACAGGGAGAATGGAGGAGAAACGGTGATAGACAGTTGCGGGTACACGCGGAGACACATGGGGGAATCTAGGAGGCTACTGACGGATTTAAGTCAGAATTACTGTTACGAAGCAATGCTCAGCGGCTACGCCAGGATGGTTTCTTTCCAGGACTGGCCAGAACAAATGGTTCAAAAGGGGAGACAGCTAGCCCGGAGAGGATTCTTTTATACGGGCGTGGCGGATAAGGTCGTATGTGCATGGTGTGGATTAAGACTATGGAAATGGTGTGCAGAAGACGACATAGACTTTGAACACAACAGGTTCAGCCGTCGTGCGCATTTCTCAAAATCACGTGCCCCGTCAGGTTTGATACTGACATGAGAACTGTTTTGTAAACTGAGTTGATTTGTGAGTAGAAATGTAGATGTGCATATTTACGAATAAAATTTGTGAAATGTTGTTTTTACTAGTCTCTGTTGTGTTTTATATAAAAGTGTTGACGTTGTCTACCTCGTGGGTATATTTTGGGGTGGTTTAAACAACGAGGGATACGGTGTTCGCGCGGTCTAGTATTGTAGAGATTTTACATAGACTGTCCGACTCAATATCTTCTTTGTTGTATTTGGTAGAATATAACCGCCCTCCCGTGCTGTATTGTAGAGAGCTTTACATAAACTGGAGGGTGTGTTATTTTTGAGTGTCTTGTTACATTTGTTTTGCTGCCTAGTATTGTAGAGAGCTTTACATTGGCAGTACGACATTTACAGACCTCCTTCAAAATTATTATTCATTCCCGCTTTGGGTTTACGATACGAGGTAAAGAACGTAACACTCAGTACCACTCTTGCTGCTTTGCCGTTTTCTACCTCACATTTTGTTTCATGTAGAATATCACCGTCTTACCGTCTTGTATTGTAGAGAGCTTTACACAGACGGGGTGGTCGTAATGATTAAGAGTGTCTAGGTGTTTCTTGCGGTCTAGTATTGTAGAGAGCTTTACATAGACAGCACGAGATTCCCTAGCCTCCTTTCAAAAACTCAAATATTATTGGCACGCTAATGGTGCATTTAAGAGGTAAAAACGCGTCTGAGAGCAATTGAGAATTTAGCTTGACGGATGGATTCTTATGGTTATCATTTTGGTCTGTGTGACGTCATTAGTAGATGTCACATGCGCGCGCGCACACACACACACACACACACACACACGTACATGTACGAACACGTACTAAACAACCATTACCCTTATTTGTGACAGTTCAATGACCACGTGACGTCAACACCGTCGCTGTAGGGCGCGTGACGTCAGTGTGGTAGTATATTTTGGAGGTTGCGTCACCATCAAGTGACGTCACTACCTTCGTTTGTAGGTCGTGACACGTCATACGTGTATGACGTCAGTGTGGTAGTATATTTTCGAGGTTGCGTCACCATCAAGTGACGTCACTACCTTCGTTTGTAGGTCGTGACGTCACGAGACCTATCGTCGTGACGTCATACGTGTATGACGTCAGTGTGGCCGCATATTTTCGAGGTTGCGTCACGTTACGTCACCTCGGATATGTGCGGTCACAATACTACTGTTGTGCTTGATTGTGAAGGTGATATGGACCATGGACAATCGCTTCTGAGAGACGACATTTTCTATACTCGGTTGTTGTTGTTGCCTGGATAAGATATATAGTCCATGGACAATCGCTTCTGATAGTTATTTTTCTGATGTTTACGGTCATATCTGGTACAACATTTCATGGGTTCACATTGGTGCAGCATATAACGTTCTATGAGGTATTGTGAGTAAAATGTATGAAACAGGGATATATCACATTTATGACGCCTGTTGAATACAGTAACATGGCACAGACGTATGTCCCTAGATAAGATGCGATGTTCTGAAACAGAAAGAAGCACTTGTGAAACGGGTGAAGTTTGGCCAAACACTCCGTTGTCCATTGATCAGCAAATAAATTTATTTGCTTGCCGGATGAAGAATCGAATGAATGCAGGTCTAGACCGCGATGGAAGTCATCTGTGAAGTCAACAATGGAGACGCGTCATTGCTTATTGTGTCCTCATAAGTACTGACGTCACAGACAAAACGCGTCAACAACCAGCTGACGTCATAGATAATGAGTCTATCGGTAATGTAGGTAGGGTAGGCGACCGGCAGACGTTTTGCTTCCGGAGTGTGCTACAAAAGTAGCCAAGTCTTGGTAGGTGAGCGCTTTTAATCTTCTTATGTGAATTCATTTGCATTTAAAGAAAGCCAAGGAGGAAAAACAATGACATATGTATGTACATAGGTTTTCGTTCCTAAAACAGCTCATTAGTAGTAGTGAATGAATGAGTGAGTTTTAAAACAGTTTACTTTAGTTTGAACGAAAGGTGATTGTGTTTGCCGGTGTCAGAGAACTGCAGAGAAAAGAGACGGTCGCTCCTCATGCACTGAGTCGGAAAACATGCGGCAGGTAAAGCGCAGTAGTAACAGAAGTAGATGTTAAATAGAAATTGTAAGTAAGATCAGTATATGTGAAAAGTATGAAGAAAATATGTTTAACGAACGACCTTGGTATTATTGGGTTTGATATACGCATACACATTTTTGGAGGTAATCGGTCTCTTGATCACTTGTTTTACAAGTTCATATTTTCACTTTCACAGTTTTAATAATCAGACACCGTACAGATATATATCTCCTATGCGTCATAAACTTTAAAGAAATGTTTTAAAAGTTAGTTCACATAAATCTATCATATTGACATTTTCTTCTCAACCCAAAGCGTGAGGGGCGGTGGGGTAGCCTAATGGTTGAAGCGTTCACTCTTCACGCCGACTAGCTGGATTCGATTCCAGACATAGGTACAATGTTTTCATCTAATGTTATCAAAATATTAACAATTAGATGTCAGGATGTTAACAGGCAAATGGACAAAACAAATCCGACTGAAATATTTATTCAAGTCACATAACCTATAAACATTGTTGATAGATGAGTGATATGTACAGATGGATTCATTACATGTGATATGTACAGATGAATTTATTACATGTGATATGTACCCATGGACTGGTGTATGTGTGATATGTTGTATGTGTGATATGTTGTACAGATGATTCGATAAATATATGGTATATACAGATGAAGTAATGTACATGGATATATACACAATGTTTGATAACACTAATGCCCTTTCAGAATCATGTAAAACATGACGCCTTTTACAAGGCACAGTACTGATTAAGATCATTAATGATATTGCACGATGTCCTCTACCAACATTACAAACAAATAATTCAATCCACCGTTAACGCAGTGCGAGAAATGTATGTGTGCTATGTTCTGTGTTAACATGCTGGATAGTTTGTGCTTTCACTTGCAACGTGAAGACGTTGCTGTTACGGTTGCAATTTCAGATCTCGTGAAGGACTCCTCATTCAAATTGAAAGGCTTATAACTTCACCCCTCATTGTCAACTTTCTCTCACGATGTGACGCTCAGAAACATTTCCTGTGAACAATGCTAGGTCCAGATTCATCATACTCCTGCTTGGAGATCCACTGCTGTTGAAAGGTTGAAAGCGAGGCCAAGATGGAGCCGCCGATCCACACCGAGTACTTCCGCTCAGGTGGAGAAATAACCTTGACCTTGATTGTGGACGGTACAATGGCGCTCAGTTCCTTCGCCATCCGGTCTGCCAGACCTGTAAAATAACAGCGTTCTTATTTGCACAAAATGTGACGATCATGAATGAGAACAATTTACAATGCAAAGGGGTGAAATGCTACAGAATCGATTACAGTGTATTTTGTCCATGAATAACCATGTCTAATCCCAGACACGGCCATTGCCTTGGCAGCTGCTGCAAGAGCTCACCTGGATACATTGTTGATCCTCCTGACAGAACCACGTTGCTGTACAGATCCTTCCTGATATCAATGTCACAGTTCATCACCGAGCTGTTGACCATCTCGTGGATGCCTGCACTCTCCATACCTGGAGGGAGAACACATGTATGAGCGAAGGTGTTGTGATTATATACTACTGTTTATTATATATCAAGGACCAGCATCAAGTATACATGTTTATCACTGAACACTGTCGGTCATCGCCAGTGTTCATAAAGATTCTATTACTATATATGTGTACTGATAAAACACAAAATGAAAACAGTTCCGTTAGAACTGAATCATCCATCATCCTGTAACACTCACCCGTGAAGCTCGGCTGGAACAGACACTCCGGAGCTCGGAACCTCTCATTGCCGATAGTTATCACAGCCCCGTCCGGCAGCTCGTATCCTTTCTCAATGGCGCTGGACTGTGTAGCTGACACCATCTCTGACTCGAAGTCCATGGGAACATAGCAGAGCTTCTCCTTGATGTCTCGCACTATCTCCTTCTCAGCTGCAAACACAACATTTCAACTTGTCACCAACATACTAAACCGGCAATCAATTCCTTTATCACAGGTTTGTTCAAAGAATAATTATGGTGTTCAGGAAACTCACAAGATGTAGTAAAGTTGTATCCTCTCTCGTGTAGAATCCTGCTAAGGTAGGAGGTCAGGTGACGGCCAGCCAGGTCCATTCTCCGGACAGCGTGGGGCAGGGCGTAGCCTGAGATAATCACAAATTAGGTTATACAATACGTATCGTGTCACTGACAGAAGCACGTGTTATGTGGAACTTCAAACCTTGAGAATATGAAATAACACTTTGAAGTCTATTTTGAAATACCCGGAATTGTCTCACCTTCATATATGGGCACGACGTGCGAGACGCCATCTCCCGAGTCGAGGACGACGCCAGTGGTTCTCCCCGAGGCGTACAGCGACAACACCGCCTGGATGCTGACATAGAAGGCGGGAGTGTTGAATGTCTCAAACATGATCTGTAATAAGGAAACAATCACGAGTCACACTAAGATATAATTTAAGGGCACCCCTATATGTAAAAATGTCCTATATGCTACAATTCTTCTGTTTTAAAAAGATGTACAATTTAGCTTGATTGAAACACATCAAACACATCGCCTCATTAGTAACATGCAACCATGAACATATTCCCAGTGAATGTTGTTATATGCCGCTGTCAGCAATATTCCAGCTGCATCACGGAGTCTGTTCAAAATCGAGCCCAGTTAAACATGTGGTTGACATCAAGAACAACTGTCAAAGGACGGTAACTCATGGACAGCCATGTGACTCATTGTAAATACAGGAACTGCATTGGGCTGTTCAAATTTTGGAGAATGTATTATTTTGCTGATCGGGAGGAGAAGAAGTGTGCCCTTAAATCTCCATAATGGTAAAAATAATTACATGTTTGATGCCAGTATACAGCACGGTTTATAATGTGTATAATACCAGTGTATGAAATAAGCCAAAAACCCAGCCACACATCTGGGCTGGTAACTTTAAAAGCTTACCAGCCCAGAAGAGAATTAACCAGTCCTTCTTAAATACTAAAAAGACAGTGCCAATGGACACGTTATCTGAATATATTTTTTCACCCGTCCATCGAGCTGGCTAGCTGTAAAATTAGACCGTCCGGCAGAAATCTAGCCCGTCTCGGGCGGTCGGACGGGCATTATTTCATGCACTGATAAAACATGATTTTAACAGTGAGACCTTCCCCTTGTCAGGCCATATCAACAACGTGACCCCTACCTGCACCATCTTCTCTCTGTTAGACTTGGGGTTGAGTGGTGCCTCCGTCAGAAGTACTGGGTGCTCCTCGGGTGCTACTCTCAGCTCGTTGTAGTATGTGTGGTGCCACACACGTTCCATGTCGTCCCAGTTGTTGACGATGCCGTTCTCAACGGGATATTTCAGACTGAGGATACCTCTCTTACTCTGTGCCTCGTCCCCGATGTAGCAGTCCTTGGTTCCCATCCCGGCCATGTAGACCTGTAGGAGGGATTGCAGTGGATGAGGACCATTTAGTGATAGTAATTCATACCACCTAGCTGCGAACGTTTAACATTCTAAATGAACGTCAGTCACAAATAATGAACTCGCATTACAAAAATATAAATAACTGTTGTACTTATTGCGACTTAGCCATCTATTTTGTTACATTAGGAAATGTTCATATTTACTACCACTTCAAACCTAATCTTGTTGGAGTTAAATATACAAGGATGTAGTAAAACCTTATTTATTAAATGACGACACTATCTACTTACGTCGTACTTGGGTCTACCAGTGATGGCTGGAAACACAGCACGTGGGGCGTCATCCCCAGCAAAGCCGGCTTTACACATCCCAGATCCGTTGTCAATGACAACAGCAGCAATATCTGTATCGTACTCAGACATGATGTATTGATGGTTGTACTGTTTGTCTTGGTGAAACTTCTGAAATATAGTGATCGAGTAAGTAGCATTATCCTAAGACCGAAACAACAGCAGTTTATTAAAGGACGCGGCATGCATTATTGTCAAGTATACCGTAACCAATATCCTCATAATATGATATCACAAAATGATATCTAAAGTCTAAAAGTTGAAGGCATGCTATCTGTCGGTATATTATTGTAAATGTATTTGCGATATCTGAAAACAGGATTTAGTATTAAACGTTGAGTTGAATACATTCATTATATACTGATATACCGTGTCAGGTAGACTCTCATAGCTAACTACATACCATCTGACACTTGAGTGGACCGTTACTGTCAAACACTGGTTTAATTAACGCCGCCGACTGATAAAGCTGGCATATTACACTCACTAACTGACCCAACAAGAGAAATCACATTCGCACACTGTAAGTGTAGGAGTTTGCTACAATTATTCCGATTCCAATAATCTTAATTTCAGTATATAACAAATAACGTTACGTTTCACCTACCTGTAGTAACTTGACTGTTTCAAGTTCTCAATGTCTTTGATTCCTCCACTATAACGTGCTGGGTATTTATACCCGGGTACTGACCTGTTTCCTGGAATACTCATATCGATTATTCATATTTTTCGCCTTGTATGGAAGGAAATCCCCGATAAATATAGAAGTCGCCCAACTTCCAAGAAAACAGGTGAACCCTAAGCTAAAAATAGATATGATCTGTCCAAGGTAGCAGGGCGTCGCATATCGCCGACAGTGTGTAGACAGTGAGATACTATATATATAGGTAAATATCACCTTGACCTACATTGGTCATAACACGTTAGTCACTCAAGCTGATCATAGACTTTTGCGTATCGATAATTGAACTGAATTTTGCAACATCACATGTCAGTGTTTGCATGTTGACATGGAATATTCAGCTAACTCGTGTTGTTTGTTATTAATTCTCTATTTTAATGTTTAAATATTTTCAGGAATCACAATTTGAGCTCCTTGTACAGATCGAGTGCACTGCAATGATACATAAATTTGAAATATTCTAACTGAATTATGAAATGGAAAATCACAACACTGAAACTCACGCAAATAATTTAAAAAACATTTAGAAATATCCATTCGTATGTATCACATCTGTCTGGGTTTCCTAAATTGTGTTATAAATGTTTTAATACAAATATTAGTGCTGTTTCACACACAACCGTAATAAACAACGTCAATTTTCATTTGTCCTATTTGTAAACATACTACCCAAACATGATACATGTACATTCAAATGTCAAACTTGATGTGGGGACAAAATTCACCATAAGTGTAAGTGGGCGTTAATATCCCGTGTTTCATTGTTTAAACGCTTTCACAACATTCCTGAAACTTTGAATATGAGAATATAGTAATATAGAAATTTTGACTTGGTAATATGAAAAGTCTACGCTGACCGCAATAATGACACAAACACACCCAAATAGCAACTGACACAGTCTACCCATGAACGATATGAGAGTTACTTCCCTTGGTACTGTGGTCCTTGACGACACAGGGACACTCTCAAAGAAACCACTGACTATTTGTAATCTGTGACGTAAGCCAGTTACACGTTTTGCCTTTCGATGTCGACAAAGTAGCTCATCATTTTAGAATATATTCAGGAATATGTCAGAAAATCAAGGTTTCAAAAATAAAACGTTGAGCATCACGGTAATAAATGCTACTGTAGTTGATATACGACCCCTCATATTGTTGTTGACTGTATAAGGAGCATGGCTGCCACTGCTTGATATGGAAAAAAACACGCGGTGTCTCGGCAGTCACTACAACATTGCTAAACACCCATGTATGGATGCTAATGAGGGTTAAAGGTACAGTGACAGAACTTCCAAATATGGATAGTATTAGCAGTATTTCACCCACATAGACATAGAGCATAACAGTGTATGGACTTGTCACAAACCCATGCAGTATATCTTTTCAGCCAGGATTACATTTAGTGTGTGTATATCTTTACTGACTGACTGACTGATTGAGTTTGGTTTTACGCCGCTTTTAGCAATATTCCAGCAACATCATGGCGGGGGACACCAGAAATGGGCTTCACTCATAGTACCCATGTGGGGAATCGAACCCCGGTCTTCGGCGTGACGAGCCAACGCTTTAACTATTAGGCTACCCCACCGCCCCGTATATCTTTACTATGTGTATATAATCATAGGATAATTGCTTTTATATTTCGCAGGGAGTCTACATACGATTACATCCTACATGATAATATATAACGTATATCTTGTCTAGACAAGTAGAGTTCTGGAAACGCGTGAACGTTGTATTTCTTGATCCCATGATCACATGCAAGTGTCGATGGAAGAAAATAAGTGTGGGAATATTTCTGTCTGGAAGTTGTGTTGTGTTGAAAACATATCACAGATTAGATTCCTTGTTCTACTGCGATTACTCCATCTAGTAGATCCATTAAAACTGTTACTGTACGTTTCTCTGTTAATTCTCCGTTCTCCTCCCAAACTACCCTTGAAAGTCTGGGTTAGAATGAACCTTCAGTAACCCATGCTTGTCGTAAGAGGCGACTAACGGGATCGGGTGGTCAGGCTCACTGACTTGGTTGACACATGTTATCGGTTCCCAATTACGCAGGTCGATGCTCATGCTGTTGATCACTGGATTGTCAGGTCCAGACTCGATTATTTACAGACTGCCGGCGTCCACCATATAGCTGGAATATTGCTGAGTGCGGCGTAAAACTAAACTCATTCACGCACTCTCCTCCCAAACATCTCATATGCATAACGTAATGCATGACATTAAGTAAGGACCACGTGCATTTCTTCTTTTGTGTTTAAGGGACGTTATTGGAGTTTCGTCTGAGTGACCCGAAACTTCAAAGCCACAACTGAATGTTTTTGGTTGAGTGGTATCACCTACAAATGTTTTAATCATCATATGTTATGTAAATGACATAAATTTCTAAATCACTGAGTAATCTAAAAAATAGAACAATATGTGTTCACTTGTGTTAGATGCAACAAAAGGAATAATGGCTAAATCTCGCACCTCTTTGCATCGATGGGTCTTTTAGCGCTAAACCGGGGCGGTGGGGTAGCCTAGTGGTTAAAGCATTCGTTCGTCACGCCAAAGGCCCCGTCGTGATATTGCTGAAATATTGCTAAGAGCGAAACTAAACTCACTAGCGCTAAACCAACTTTTAGGAGAACGCGTGGCGAACATTGCTTCTATCAGTATTATAGTGCTGTATCAGATAGTGTATCTTGATATTTATCGTGACTAAAATATCCTTTGTAAGATGTTTATATCATTGCCCTTCCTGGCGTATATGCACTTCTATACATGATTCTAACATGTCATAAGCTTGATTGTATATATAAACTGAAAGAACTTAGTATATACCCCCTGACATATCTCACGATTGAATGAGCCCCGATCTTAACCCGATGATTGCACGTCGTGTGCAACAAAGGAATCCTCCTGTACAGAACCTGGCCCGATTGG